GTTTTTTTTTCTTTCTCGCTCGACATTGCGTCGAGGACATTTCAATTTCTGCGCGAAAATGGACGAAAAGGGAATATGACTGGAAAGTCCTGAAGATTTTGAATGATTCCAAGCCAGTTTTCCTGGAAAGCAGCCGTTGCCGTTTTGAAATGTATTTTCTCGTTAATTATTGATCCGAGAGATACTTGAGCCTTTCTGTCTGGCTGTCTCTTATCCTCGAATTTATGCTAGAAAAAAGTTACGTAGCCTGTCATTTTTTTCTGAATTCTGGACATTGTTTATTCGTCATTGCGCGAAAAGCCGATATAATGCGAAAGAAAAATGTTACAGGTTTCGTGCATAATCTTTGACTCTCAAATTATTCTGAACGCGTTGTAAAATAATATTTTTGGAGAAAGTAAGTGTTGCAATGTTCGGTTTACTTCGTGAGGATTCAGAAATCCGGAAAAATTTGGACCCTTTCTTATTTATCCTCGCTGGTCCGGAAATAAATTCCGACTTCGAGAATATTCAAATGCTGTACTATTCCACTCGCAGCTTTCTCCATTTCATTATCACTGAATTTAAAATTTGTTTTTTTGGTACAAAATCTGTTTTTCGTTGATTAAATAACAAAGGCTTCGTTTTGTCGAGAGTACGAACTGAATAAAACGATTTTGACGAGTATTCTCAGGAAATGCATTATTCATTTTATTTTTAGAAAAAAAAGCTGCTTCAATTTTTTTATGTGGTGCAGGAATGAATATCCGGTTATCTCTTTCGGGATTGAGAGGAAACAAGGTCTTTTCTCCGTATATTAATTTTTGATGAAATTGTGAAGAAATAAGAAAAAAGTCAGAACCCTTGAGCGCTTGGAGTTCAAGATACCCTGACGAGTTGATGAACGATGAGCCGTGTCGACGAGCCGTGTCGACGAGCCCACGTGTTACCTGTGGTGAATTTGATTAGCGTCAGAAGCCTCGTGCACGTGTAAGCCTTCATTCCTTCAAACACTGTTTTTTCTTCATCTTTTTTTTTTTATTGCCAAAATGAGGCTTTTGACCCAGGACCAAGATTGAATTCTTCGCCGGTGTCCTCGCGAAAGACACGATAGGAATTTTCTTTATCATCCCTCTCGCCTTGTGGTTTTTTTTTCAATGAATGAATGAATGAAGGCTGAGACGTGGTTGGCGAGAAGGAAGTAGATTTTGTGCCCCGTGACATTGGGTGCGGATTTCGTCTCGGTTGGTAAGCAGTATAGTGGGGTGCAGGAGAAGACTGGGGATTTAGGGTTTTCATCCGTGCAATTATGAAAAAAAAAATTTTTTTGCTCATGTTCGAATGAACGAACAGCTCGTTGAACAGGATATTTGAAAGCCTTCTGCCGTTCATTGGATCCTTTATCCGCCAGCGAAGCTTTGCGGCAGTTTAGACTAGCGGGAAATTTGTGTCCTCGGATTTTCATTAGGGTTTTTTAGTTCTGAAGAGCGAGTCGAGGAAAGATGGCTAGTGATTCGGCTGTCGGTATTTTTTTATCGATTTAAAGACTGTGTGGATTTTTATTTGGATTTTTTCTTTCCTCGTATGTAGAATTTATCGGTAAATTCTCATTTTGGGGCTCTTCGATGGTTTTCACGTCAAGCTTATCGTTGGAGGGATGGTTTAAGGATTTTTTTTAAGAACCTAGGAGTGAATTCAGGTACCTAAATTACCTCATTCAGAATTCTCGAAAACTTCGTGGAATCAATAACAAGCTTCAAGACACGAATTAAGCCCGTATTTATTTGGTAAGATTTTTAAAATAATTGAAAATCCTCACATTTTATATCCTACGCACTGATAGCTGAGACCAAGGCGTTAAAATTCAAGAGGAAGATCAAACTGATGCTTTCATGAACGTTTAGGGTTTTGAATTTATAAGAAGGTCTGTAACCCTCTGGGTTTCATATTTCTTCCATATGAAGGCATCAAATTTCCATCCTTCAAAAACGTTCCGTTAGGAGCAACCTACTTTATGTGAGCCGAAATAAGCGTAATGGAAATTTTCCGCTAAGCTTTTTGTGGTTTGAATTTTTGATCTGCGAATTTTGTGTGTGTTTTTAGAATTATAAGTTGAATATTTTAAAGGAAAATCTATCCGTGTTGTTCTCGGGGAGGGGGGGTGTTCTTGGTGCTTGAACGAAGATCTTTTCATCTTCTTGGGCATTTTTGGTACGTCTTGATGCTGTTTATCGTATTGTCTTGAGATTATACATATTAGTGTTAGTCTATTCTGTCCAAAAGTGGGTAAATTTTGTCGTATGGTTTCAGAAGTGTATCTTCAGTGATTCTTCTTGCGGATCCTCCTGCATCAACAGTTGTTAACTAACATACCGTATTTCGACGACTAGAGACGAGTCTGACTTTGAGTAAGAAGCCAGGATGATGAAAAAGTGCAAAAACGAAACACTTGTCAACTTGTCAGAAATAATCGCTGCTGAATGTTTTTCTTTCGAAATAGAAGCACTTCGGTTGTCACCCAGCCGAAGACGAAACGCAGGTGGGCATTGCGTTCATTCACAAAACGATGCATGCATGCGTCTTGTCTCGCGTGTGTTTCGTTGCGTAATAAGGGAAAATAAAATACTGTACTGTATTCGTAGCCCAGGATTTTTTTGTTTTGTTTTCTTTTGAAACTTGAATGGAAAAAAATCGAAGTTATGTTCCTTGCGAGCGAGAAGTTTTATGATAATCCTGGACGAATTCTAATCGAGCATTTGTTGTCGCGTTCTTCTGAAATTTTTCGAATCCCCGGTCTTTGTTGTTGGGACTGTGGCTACTGTTGGAAGTGTCCAAGGTTTCTCTGGACTTGCTGGCTATTGTTTTCGCAATACCAAGGCCTCCCCTGGTGAACATTTTACGATTCTGACGCGTTACCGGAGTTGTGAAACATTTTATTTCAATTTTCTTTCAAAGCGAATTATTATTTTTACTCAGAAACATTTTTGGGGGCTCTAAAAAAGATTCTCTTTTTCCGTCACATTCGTGGAAATATTTGGAAGATGCCGAAATTCCTTCCGGTATTTTGAGCGGTTTTCCCGATGCAAGAGCATGTTTCGAATTTTACTCCGATGAGAATATTTTCATCTAGGAATTCCCGGGATATTTTCGAAGGAAGATTTTTTCGTTACATTCGCAGAAATGTTTGTAAGTGAATAAAATCCTGTCGATTTCGGAGTTTTTGCATTATGCGCTGTATTTCAAGTTTGCTTCTGAATTCCGACATTTTATGGAGAAAAACTCATGCTTGGAGATTTTTTTGCGTATACAGTATTGGGGATGTATTGGGTGGGCAGTGAAATATTCGATGGACCATTAAAGTTCCATTTGAGAAATTGCATACCAGACTTTCATGAATTTTATCCTTCGAATCGTAACTTTGTGGGTAGGTTGCTTCATTGCTTGCTCACGGATATTTTGAATTTCCTGATCTCATTTGCTTCTGGAGAAACTTGGATATCTTGTACTGTGCTACAAAAAAGAACTAGCGTTGGAAACTTTTTGTGATACTTTAAAAATACTGTAGAGGAAATACGTAATTCGAATCTGTCTATGTTGACGAAAACTTGATTCGAAATTCCGTAGAAGTTCTTCGCGATTTTGAGCGGAGAGGCCTGTGTTGTTTTTCTTTTTCGGAAGACGTTCACCTCTTTTGCTTTCATGTGAAATAGACTGCACTGATTTTTCTGTTGAATGAATATTATGGTAGTAAAAAATTTAAAGAAAAGAAGAAACTCTGTCGAAGTCTTCCAGCAATAGCCACGGACTTGTTTCCGTGACGACTGACTTGTTCACTCAGCGTCCGAATCGAGTCCGTTTGACGCGTTGCCGTGATTTGGCTGTTTTTTAGAACTGCCAGAGGATTGTTGAAATCTTTCTTTCGTTCATCTTTGTCATTCTGAGACGAACTGTGGTCACTTGTGGCTTGAAATTTTTTTTTTCACATCCACCGAATTGTTTTCATGGATTTCCTTGGTTTGAGTGATCATTCTCAAGTTTACTCGTCCTTGTATTATATATATACCGTATATATATATATATTTATTTGTGCGTGTCTGTGGGTGCATTTTAGTCGACGTGTTTCGGAGTCGTGAATCTCGCTCGACGTGACCTAGTGTGGAAGTGAAGGTGTGTCATTCGTGGCGTCGCCGCCTCTGGTCAGTTTGCCAGTGGCTTTCGCGAGTCGGTGAAGTGACCCAGGAAGAGGAAACTGAAATACAGAAATAATAAAGAGATCCGCATGTAAAAAAAAATACGACGACGTCGACGACGACGAAAAAGGATCGGAATAAAAAAGGGCATGTGGATGTCGGTGTTTTGAGCCCGAACTTGGTGGGGAGGGGGTGGTGAAATGAGGTGAAACCACGCGTTACCCTCTTGAGGTGGCCGTGGGGGGGGTGGCAGGAGGAAAAGGAGGTGGTGGTGGTGGTAGGAAGACTCGCAGATGTGGTGGTGCTGGGCGCGGATGGGCGCGATCAAGTGGTGCCCGCAACTGCATCTGGGCACGTGCGTGTTGCTCTTCATGGACGTGCTGGTGGAGACGATCAAGGGCCAGTTGGCCCGGTTTGCGGACCTGGTGTCGTGTGCGTGGGCCTCGCGCGGCCGCACGCGCTCCACGTGGCACCTGGACCACTACCGTGGCACTGACATACCAGAGGCCGTGGCTGGCTTTTACGTCTCTGCTGTGGTACGTTGTACTGTACATGTATTTCCGATTGATTGTGCTGCCGCCTGGCGATTGGGTGGATGTCTGTGTGGTTTTTGTTTATTAAATTTTATTTTTAGTCTTCGAACGGATCCACCTACAACCGGTGTGTGTACTGTTGTGGTTCTTTCATCGCAGTGATCCGTCATAAGGCTCCAGCCGATACAGACTCACCCTCTCTTTCTTCAATATATTTTTGTTTTACTTCATAGTTCAAGCGTTGTAGGTTTTTTTTTCTTTAGAGACCACGGTAAATTTCATTTCTTCCTGGACACGCATACATTATTTTTTTTATTCGAATGTGAAGTTGATGCGACTATCGCATGATTTCTGTTTGTAGCAAGTTTTCCACGTTTTTTTTCTTTTCTCGAAAATTCAAGATTGTATCTGGGCCAGCGTGAAAATTATAATCACCTTTTGAGTTATGGAGTATGAGATGTCTGATCAGTTCTTTGTGCGAAGGTTGCTTGAAGTGGATGTGGATGTCCAAACCTTTTTTAATGCTAAATTTTGCGTTTTTTTTATTTTGCTTGCTTGTGTGCATTTTCAACGAGTTCTGAAGTCTCGAGTAAGTTGGAACTGGAGGAAACTTGTTTGTGGATTCTACTACAGTATTTTTTGCTCCTGAGAATATTCGTAGTTAAGCCAGAAATTCACAGGGTACCAGCTTCAGAAAAAGCGCTTTCAGTGTGCGGTTTTTTTCGAGGTATTTTTATCTTTATTTTAATCGTTTCGTGGGGGTTTCAACGACGTAATTACTGTTTTTTTTCGCGATGAACTTTGTCGAAACCGTTTGGAACTTTTGTGTGAATCCAAAATTGGCTTAGAACTGCGTTTTGTGTGGGTGTGTACAATATATGAAGAACGGGAGAGGCGAGAAGCTCGGCTCTTTTATCTTGGGCCATATAGTCAGTCTCTCCCTTGGCGAAGGTGTCGGGAAAGGCTGGTGAGGCGTGATCGACACCCCGCAGTGTGGGGCCCGGGATGAGTTGGGGCAGATGGCGGGGTCGGGTTCTGTTGGCCCACGACGAGGGGCCTCAATGTGGCCGTGGTGGTACTAATGCTTTGACACGGTCCTGATCCGGTGTTGCCAAGTGAATAATCTCTTGATCCGTAATCCGATTAGGATATACAGTATAGCCCGTATTTTATTTTTTCATCGTTCCTTCATCGAATCTCGTCTGTGATAATATGGGTTTTTGAAGAGTTGAATCCGAGTATTGAAGGTATCCTGGATCTTGAATTCATTTTTCCCTTGTAATAGGACGAGAGAAAAAAATAAGTGAACATTATAGAAAGAAAAAAGCTAATAAAAAGATGAATTGAATTTTTCCAGTGAAGTTTTTCAAGACAGATTCGGAAGTTTTGATCGATAATAATGTTCTAAAATTAGGACCGGAACTAAAGCAGTGTTAGCTTGACTTGTAATTGTTTCAAACTTGAAGAAATGATCTATTATCCTGTTCTAATCCCATTTGGCAAAAAATCTGAAGCATTATCTCGTATGTAGGCAACACTAGTGTAGATGAATTCGATAGCTCATGGATATTCGGAAGCTCATCTTAGAGCTTCTCTTTATTTATTTTTTTTCAAGTTTCGTCTTCTCAAAAACCTTGTGCATTCGTTGGTAAGATGAACTTAACTTGAAGCTAACATGATTTTAGTCAAGAATAATCTATCATGGATTTTTCGAATGTTCCTTATTAGTCCTCGCATGATGGAGATATTCTCCGATTCCTCCTCTACGTTTGGATCTGAATTATCAGAGCTCATTCGTTATCTTTGAACTTCGTTTCTCTGAAAGTTCAAGTAGATAATCTGAAAAGATGGAGGCGCATTCTAGAAAAGCGTTCAAGCGACGCTGTTCTACTTTTTGAACTGTTTTGGGAAGATAATAACGCGAAAATTTGTGCGATTTTGGAGATTGGAAGTGGTTATTAACGGTTAAATTTTATTTCAAGTGTATTTTTGGGGATATTTTTTTTCTCAGAGAATTTGCTGAAAAAACAAATTTCAGAATAACGGATATTGATAACCCGAAATCAAATCGTCGGAGTCAACATTTTCTGTTGCGATTCTTCCGATTTTGTCATTAGTTCTTCTTGAACGAACTTTTCGCTCGCGATTTCAATGTTTGTTCTCATTATATTCATATTTGCTATACCTGCTCATCTTCAATGTTATCAGTGGAAATCGGCTCTTTTCTTAACGGGAATTATTCATTTCCGTTTAAAATTACGAATAGAATTAGTTTTTTCATCAAGAAGGAATGTCAATGTCGTAGATGACCAAGATTTGGTTCGAAAAGTGAGTGCGGAGGCTGCAAACATTTCGGCGTACTTTGAAAGCCTTTGATGTCCGACAAAATTCTACTTTCGTCTGACTTTCGGGCTGAATCACTTTCGTCGAATGGTGAGCCAGAATTCGCGTCTTTCTTAGTTCATTTCCGACCCGTTGGCATTCTTCATTCGTCGCCAAGAATGTTAATCGTGGTTCGTCTTCTCGTATATATATAATGTTTTTTTTTTCAATTATTCTTTCAAAGAGTGTAATGACTGGGAATTGCGAAGAGGTCTTGAGGTCATCTTACCAAAAAGTGCGGCGCACGTTTTGATCATCTGGGCTGTGCGTCGGAGAAAGGAGCATGAGTTCGTCTCTTTTGTTTCGACGCAACTTGAAATTCTCTGGCCTTTTTTTCTATTGTAAAAAATTTTTGTATTTATCTCGCAAACGACGACGATCATTTCCCTCTGACTTGACCTTGTGTCGCCCCGTGTGCAATGTCGTCATTGAATGACTGGCAAGTTTTCTTCGCCGCGGTTTTTGAGAAGACCCGGGGATCGGAAATGGGGAAGAGAAGAATGACTTCCGCGTTTTTTTATTTTTTTCTTCGTGATATTTGCAAGAGAATCATTTCTTGTCATGGTCTTTGATGCGTAACTCACCTTGCTATCAAGTTTCGTGCCTGGTTTAATTTCTAGCATTCCATTGAGTACCGTAATTTCTTTCTAATATTACATTGTGCTAAATTTTTTGAAAGCGCGGATGAATTATTCTAGATAGGTGTCAAATTTTATTCAGCGAATGAAAGGGTACTGTATTGAAAGAAATGCATTGGTTCGGGTTCGAGTCTAATCTTAATTTCTTAGCATGCCTCAGTTGTTTTACTGATGTACTTTGTAAAAATTGGAACAACATTTCCTGGTTTATGATCATGCGAGAATATTGTATGAGAAATTATTCTAATTCATGTTTCGGATGCAATATTGATTCTGACTTCTGTAGGACAGTATTATTTCCGGGAAAGCGTGTTCATAACATTTTAGCTCGATCAATTTGTTTTGGAGGCTTCAAAAAATCGAGGTCCTGCTTTCTCTAAATTTTGTTACCGTATTTTCGGATATTTAAAATCGATTCATTCTTCATTTTTTTAGAGGAAGAATCGGCTATTTTTCGGAATTCACTTTTTTAATTTTAGAGCCCATGCAGGAATAAACAAATTGATAATGAATAGCTTTTTTACGAAGAAGATCCTTCCTTTTTGGAGGGGGCAATTCTGAAATCTTCTTGTCAGTTTTGCATTTTCGAAAATATCTTGGCTTTTTTGTTGACATTTCAGTACACATTTATTACTGTACATCCGAAATGCGAGCATTGAAACGTGGTCATTCCTCGGAATGTTCATTTGAGGGCCATGAATACTGCTGTTCGATGTTGTTTTTAACAGCATTTTCCTTTCTTACGTATTTTACAGCAACTGCAAAATGAAATTGCCGAGGTCACATCGGAGATGGAGACGCTGGAACCAGCTGAGGATACGTGAGTATTCTTCGACTTATCTCATTTCGAATTTTATCGGATGATTAGTGAACCAGTTTGTGATTGTAAGAACGGGCTTTCGAATCCAGTCGAACCTTTCCCGTCGGGTTATCGACCTGTCTTCCGAAGCCCGTTTGTATTCGGGGCTTTCCAATTGTTTCGCTTTCATATGCTTTTTTTTTTTAAACCCACCAGTTCAAGAATAACTGGGCGTCAGACCGGTCTTCTTTCTTACAAGATCCATTTAGTTCCATGATTCAGATATCTTTCCATCTATTTTTCCCCCGAATTTTTAATGGTTGTAAGTCGTTTGAACCGGGGCTGGATGAAGAAATCGAAAGAATAATACGAGGTAGTTTTCTTGCTGAGGAAATACGATCCGTTTCAAGAGCTCTTCTCAGCGTGAGATGCGTTAGTATAAACATGTCGAGTGTCACAGCTCTGATTTCATGGTGACGGAGAGCCTTTGCAGAAATTCATTCCGGAAACCACTCAAGAAACTATTTCGGAATGACATATTTCATTAACTTGTCTGAATTCTAATGAATTACTCATCTGTGAGAGAGAGAGAGAAGAAAAAATGGAGTATCTGTTGAGAATCTCGCGACTGTGAAAGTCTACTTTTTATACTGACGAGGTCACGTTTTTTTTAGTCTTTGAAGAAAACCACGTTTTATTATATGATCGCACGTGTCTTTAGTGCAGTACCTGTGCTGTATAATCATGTATTCAACCCGCGGAAGGTCTGGAAAAGAAGAAGACGTAGTGCTTGAAATGGATTTCCTTTCGAGAGAGAACGTTAACGAAAATGAGAAAAACGAAATAGACGGTGTCCGTAACGTGAGGAATATAGAGAGATTATTGTACTGTAGTGTGGTACCACGCGTTCCGATCTGAAAACTCTGTCCCCCGCGAACATTCCACGTCGCTTTGAACAGGGTTCCAGTGATGGATGGCATCGTTGTCTTAAATCAGAAAAAAAAGCCACTCACAAATGCAAAATAAAATAAATAAATGATGGAAAGAGACGACGAGAATGTTTGCGTTATCAGCCCTCCCTTTTGTCAGCCGCGAGTTAGCGCCGAGTTGTGAATGTGGGGAAATGAGCGAAAGATGGAGTGGTTTTGGGAATGAGTGTAAAATACAAGGATTTCGTTTAAGGGGGATTCGAATGGCCAACAATTGTCACCTACACGACGTGGCTCGTGCGTGGGCTAGTAACTCGTGTTTCCGCGTCGGTGGCGGTCGTGATTGATGCCCTGCGCCCTGAGAAAATGTTCCTCTTCCCTTTGCAGACAGGAAACCCACCTCAGTTTTTTTTTTATGTCTCTTTTGCATCCCCCTTCCCCCTTTTTTTCTTCACAAATTGGTTCAGTTTTATCTTTTGCAAATACCGTACCTATTTCCTCGGGGATACGGACAAATCGAGACAGACAATTCTGAGACAGAAACGTATGGGACAATATGATACAGGGACAATATGATACAGGGACAATATGATACAGGGACAATATGATACAGGGACAATATGATACAGGGACAATATGATACAGGGACAATATGATACAGGGACAATATGATACAGGGACAATATGATATATTTTGTATAGGGGAATTTTATATGCTTTGCTATAAATATTCCATTATAATACTTGTGTGCTATAGATTATTTTATTATGCAAGGTGTTATTTACAGAATTTTTTCTAATTTTTCATGACTATAAGGGAATATGTTGTGAAGTTTACCTCTGCCAATATTTAGAAAAATTATTGAAGGATGTTCTGCTATTTTTGTCATGTGCAATACAGTGTATTACAGTGGATCAAAAGAGGATGAAAGCGAGGAAATTCTTCTGTCTCAAATAGTCCTTGTCTCAAAATTATCTGTCGCCATATGTACCTGTCTCAAATTGGCCTAGTCTCGAATTAGCCCTGTCTCAATTTCTCCTAGATCCATTTCCTCGCGCATCTACAAAGATTATAATTTTGAATGTGAATGCTGGTAAGCGTATTTATTGGCATGTCATCCAATGTTTCCTGAAGAACTAAAGTTACTCTATAATGTACTTTGATGTTAATCGTACTGCAGTTATCAGCTTGATATCCTCCCTCTTTTTTGGGAATCGGGGTATTTAATTGTTGTTCCCTTGAACAGAGAATGGCCACAAGATTTTTTACATTTTGTTTGAGGCGATTGTTATAAAATTTTGGGAGGTCTGACCCGCGATTCTCATGAAAGCATAAAATATGGGATAAGAGGTAATCAATTCGAGAAGTGGTGTTACACTTTTTGTAAGTCTCGAGACCGTATTTTTTTTTCTTAACTCCCCTTCCGGAAACTTGGGAGTCGCATTCATTTGAAAAGTGTAATAGAAACTTTCAAAATACTGTACAGTAAATTATTCACACGTATTGTTGCAGTACTGTATTGTGAAAAGCTTTTCTGCGTATTACAGTTTTGGCGATGGTGAACGAAGCCAAAAATATACGCAGCGTGAAAGAGGTTCAGCAGATTTTAAATCGGGTTCTCGCACTGGGTTCTTTCACTGCCTTTTTGACAATAGAAATCTACAGTAAATGGTTATTTCTCTGCGGAAGTTGTTCGTTGCTCTGTTTGAGTTATTTGCAATCACAGTACAGTATTTCCTTTTTTGCGACTTCCGTGGTGGAAGTTCGATGTTGATTTTCAGACGCCTGTTCCGTGGGTTAGAAATTTTTTCATCAAAATGTGAAGGAGTATACAGACGGTTTTGGAAAAATACTGTATATTTGCGACCTGTGCGCAGTATTGCACACAGGTCGCATCGGGATTTGTTTCCCTTATTTTCCTTGGAATATTTCTTTAATTTTTATGCATCGTATTAGTTTTATAATGCTATTCAGCTCCAGAAGATTTCGATGAAATTTTGAGGATTTCATGCTTATTTGATAGCCGTCGACGATTGGCTGAGATGAAATGCGTGACATGAACTTATTGCCCAAAGGTTATGCAAGCGTTTGATGTAGAATACGCGTGGAAACTCCGGAAATATTCGCGACAGAAGTGACGAGAAAATTGTGTTTGATGTTTTGATGGCAAATTTTCTCATGTTTTTCTTCCTTTTGATCGGTTAACAGGAAGAACAACCTTCGTGCGAAGCAGCTGTCCATCGGGCGGAAGAAGTTCAACATGGACCCGAAAAAGGGGATCGAGTGGTTGATCAATGAGGAGTTGATTGAGAGTTCGCCGTTGGCCACGG